GGGTAATTTTTATAAATACACATATGTGCGTGATTTATGAAAAATTTTACGTGCTCCGTATGTCTAACCTTGTACCAAACTAGTTTTAGCTGATTAAATAATATATAAGGATATTTCTGGTTTTAAAAAATCGAAAACATGTTAATCACGTTTAGGTTCACAGATAAATCGAAAGGCTCACGAATACACGCACACGCACACACCGATGTATATATATATTCATTTATTAGAGTGAAGAAATGTTTGAAAATGAGATAAAAGTGACAATGTGAGAATTTGACACGAAATATTTGCAATATATATATATATATATATATATATATATATATATATATATATATATATGGGGGAGAGTGAAGGAGGTAGGGTGATAAATATTGGTTTATACGGCATGTGCGTCTTTGTGTATATATTTATATGACACAACCTCTGGCTAATATGCCGAAACGTGTGTCTATCAACAAGTTTTTTGTTTCTTTTTTTGTTTTTCTTTTTTTTCATTTGAATTTGTGGGCGGGAAAGGGAAGAGAAGATAAAAGAGCCAAATTGAAAAAAACCCTGAAGAAATAAAGAATGAAAAAATTGAAAGAAAGAAAGAAAAGAGAAAAGAAAAAGAAAGAAAGAAAGAAAGAATATAAAGTAAAAAAGAAAGAAAAAAGAAAGAAAGAAAGAAAGAAAGAAAGAAAAGAAAAGAGAAAAAGAAAGAAAGAAAAAAGAAAGGGAAAAGAAACAAAAAGAAAGAAAAGAAAGAGAAAAGATACAAAAAAGGAAAGAAATGAAAAATAAAGAAAGAAAAAAGAAAGACACAAAGAAAGACACAAATAAAAAAGAAAGAAAGAAAAAACAAAGAAAAGAAAAAAGAAGAAAGAAAGGAAAGTGAGAAAGAAAGAAAAAAGAAGAAAGAAAGAAACGAAAGAAGAAAGAAAATGAGAAAGAAAAAAGAGAGCAAAAGAAAGAAAGAAAAAAGAAAATAATAGAAAAAAGCTAAAAGAAATGAAAGCAAAATAGAATGAAAGTATATTATGTAAATAATATGATAATTAAATATAAAAAAATACAGTAAGAAAGAGATGAAGGTGTAATAGTACAAAATGTAAGGTTAAGAAAGAAGGAGAATGTAAATTATTACAGAAAGAAAGAAAATTATTAAAGGAAAGAAGAAAAGTGAAAAATTACTTAAAATAGAAAGAAAATAGAAGAATTATTAAAGAAATAAAGAAAGAAAATATTAAAAAATGATTGGAATAAAAGAAAGAATTAATTAGAGAAAAATACAAAGAAAAAAAGAAAGAAATACAATAAAAAGAGAAAGAAGAATTATTAAAGAATGTAAAGATCAAAGAAAGAATGAAATCCTCCATTTACTCGAAAAAATTATTGACAAACGGAAAAAGAATTGAATACAAGAATGAAATACAAAATGAAAGAAGACAGAAAAAGAAAGAAAGAATACGAGGAAACGATATTAAAGAAAGAACAAAGAAAATTATTAAGAATCAAATAAAACAAGAAAAGTTTTCGGTAGTGGAAGATTATTGAATAAAATAAAAACGAAAGAAAGAAATTAAATTAGTAGGAAAGAAAGGAAAAAAATATGAATGTAACATGAAATATTATTGCAAATAGAAATGATTTCAAAAAAGGAAAGAAGATTATTCAAAAAAGAATGAAAGAACCAAGATTATTTGAAGAGTAAATAAATGAAACGAAGAGGAAAGATCAAAGAAAGAATGAAATCCTCCATTTACTCGAAAAATTATTGACAAACGTAAAAAGAATGGAATAATACAAGAATGAAAAAATTTAGTCCTAATTTAAAAAAAATAAATAAATAACGAATTTATGAAAATTATTTATTCCAATGAATAAATGATTTAAAATGGTTGGATAAAAGAAAGAATGAAAAAAAAAAAAAACTAAAAATTTAAAATAAGTAAATACAACGAAAGAATGACTTTTATTGCAAAGTTCTAGGGAAAACAAAAAGATGAAGATAAGGACTAGATTTTTAAAATGGGCCGTTAAATTGAAAAAGCAGAAAAATCCATAATAATAATGATAATAAGTGAGAAAAAATTTCCACCGACTTATTTTTGGACGGTGATAAAATATATTTGCGTGCTGAAATGCTATTTAGTTTTCATGGAGAGAGAAAACTTTGTAAATTTTCTGTCAATAATGGAAAAAAAAATTATTTTTTCGATCATTATTTATTTATTCTTTACCCATTTTCTGTTCATTTTTCAACTATGATTTGCGGTGTAACAGCAAAGTGATATCTCATGGAAAAACAATCGAGACACACGCAGAGACATATATATATATATATATATATATATATATATATATATATATATATATATATATATATATATATCGTATTTGGGCAACAATCCTTCTTGTATACAATTTCGTTAAGGATGAGGTACTGCTATTAAGCTATTATTTAATTATTTTTTTGTGCTCGGACAAGTGTTTTCTTTTCTGAACATAAACTGTGTAAAACTCTCCAAAAGATATTCATGTACAAGTGCGTTCGGGTTTTTTTAGCCATTATCATGGACGATTTTCATTTTTTATTTTTAATTGAACGCGTGTGTGTGTCTTTTTTTCATATGTATGTATCTGATATTATAGGAATGCTTTATTTCTCCAAACACGGTCAGCACATTGTGGCCGTGTTCGTAGTTAATACTATTGAGTATTAACTACGAACACTTTTACTTTTTTGTTATAAGTGCTTCCATTATTTTTAATCTTTTTTTAAATGTGGATGAGGCTGTTATTCTTGTATTTCCCACTAGTATGGAATTTCGGAGTTATATATATATATATATATATATATATATATATATATATATATATATATATATATATATATATTGTTAATAACTTTCGGACTTAGTCCATTTCATAATATATACACAGACATACATATACAAAAACACACACACACACATATATATATATATATATATATATATATATATATATATATATATATATATATATATATATATATATATATGTGTGTGTGTGTGTGTGTGTGTGAAAAGTGTATATAAATATAAATAAATATATATATGTATAATTATTTATATATTATATGCGCGGTACTTATTAGAAAGCGCTCAATATCAGAGATAGATTGGTTGGATAGATGTGAGTTTGTGACCCTGCGTTTCACGCTTTAGCGATCGTCAGACAAACTGATTAATATTTTTTAAAAAATTGGGTTTATGTATATTGCGTGTATTGGTGTTATTGTGGAAGTAGTGGGGGAAAGTTCGTCGCTTATGTCATTCATCGTACTAACGCAAACATCGATGTATGCAGACACATATACCTACTTGGTCGGCCGTCGGGACTCATACATATATAAACATATGTGGGCAGTTTCGGCTATGACACACACACACACACACACACAGATATATATATATGTATGTGTGGGTGGGAGGGGAATTTCTCAGGTTTAACCTGTAGAAAAAGACAATATGTATAAAGATTAAATAGAAAAGTTGTATTATTAGCCTCCGAGTTTTGTGCTATGCGGACTTTTTCAAGGCAACAAACGAAGTGAATTCATTGAAAACAAAGTAACTAGTAACAACAAACAAAATATCCATAGCAACTAGAAGAATTTAGAAAACGCTATTGTATTCATATTGTCGACTGAAATTTTCTAAACATGTAATTTTCAGTTGAAGAATCAGCAATGTTATAGGTCCTGACCTTACAGTTTGGCTTCAGTTCCTTTTCCACCGCTTATAGCTTGACAGTGCCTTTACCACAAATACTTTGATGGTAATTGTTCGGATGAGATCATTGCTATGGTATCTAAACATTATGTACCTAAGTGTAGTGCTAAATTGTTGATTATGTTTCATCAGCCCACTGTTGAATGTGCTAGATGTTACCCTAACTATGTCTATATTTTCCTTTCAGAGTTAAAGTTAGAGGTATCCAGACGAAAGTTCCACAGAGGTTGTGATTTGAAGAACTGAAATCACTCGAAGTTCCCCGGAGTTTTTTTAACTCAATTTTCAGGCTGGATTGGAATTTAGGCCCATATCGGAATTTCCATCTGACGAGCTTGTTAGAAGCGGATCAAAGTTGTTTTGGAAGACTGCTATCGCTCATATGAGAAAGATGTCCTGCTCACTTGAGGTGGATTTTCATTAGGATGGCTGCAATATCCGCCATGATGCATTTACTCAGAACTTCACTATATCTTACGCGATCAAATAGTTTTCTGTTGTATACATTTTTCCGTTTTGGAGACCAAGTAGTAATGCCGAATAATATACTGGATAAGGATAAATGCCCAAAACTGGTCCAAAAATCTGAATCACATGGAAAAAAAATGGTGTGCATATGGTATTATTTATTTGATTAGCTGCCCACTCGTATCCCAGGTTGTCCGTCCGCTAGGGTGGCTTTCTATTTACTGTTGCAGACACCTGCTCAGACACATTTGTGTTTGCTCATCACCCACAGAGCCCACCTGTGGTTTAAACTGCAACTATACTATGCAGACCTTAGTTACAGTTACAGGGAGAGAGAGACTTATCTAGCATGATTAACAATCAAAGCCACGGCACGCAAACTCTCGGCTACATCGATGGATCCCTTTGGGAACCGTTTACACAATTTCACTCAGAGACAGTTGTACGGTTTTCAGACACTTTCCAAAGGTGCCGAGAACTGAGATCACCCCCACCAGAGCGATAACATCAAGAAGTTACCTTCCTGTCAAATCGACCATAGTGAGATTCGAACCCGTGTCATATAGTCAGAAAGCGAAAGTTTTAAAGACTCAACCGCGTGGCCAATTATTTATTTAAATTTCTTAAAAAAAAACAATGGAACACTACACGCATATTTTTACGTCAAGCAGCTCCAACCTGTCCATAAATGTCTGCTCCGAGAAGAGCATGTGTTCTTCAATAAAAAAATAAAAGTTTTGTGGGAACTTGAGGATATTAAAGATATTTTCAATGTGTTTCTTATTACCCTGTAAAGATTTAAGACGAAAACAGGAAGCTGCCAGGCTTCAGATTGTCTTTGAGTTTGTCTTTGTAATGCAAGAATAGTTTTCAATTGTTTTGGAAGCCTGCTATCGCTCAGATGAGATATGTCCAGCTCACTTGTGTGGGATTTTCATTAGGATGGTTTCAATGCCCGTCATGTTAATTTGAGATTCGAACCCTTGTCATAAAGTCAGAAAGCGAACATTCTAATGACTCAGCCACATGGCAAATTATTTATTTAATTTCTTACGAAGCAATGAAATACTACACGCACATTTATACGTCAAGCAGCTTCAACCTGTCCATAAATGTCTGGTCGGAGAAGGGCATTTTTTTGTCAACAGAAAAATGTTTTTCTTCGTCTTACATCAAGAATGAGATAGAAAAATAATTGGTAACTGATTTTTGTTTTACCTGACATAACCCTGAGCTTGATTATTATTTTGTACTTTTGATGGCTACAACAATTTTTGACTTTTTCTTGACAACCAGATTGAAAGAGTTCTCCTGAAAAAAATGTTTATAAGTCCACTGAAAATGTTCCTCATCACAATCCATCTTTTATATTTCTAAATCTTCTATTCGTCCGTGCATTGGATGCTTTTCCCATATTTAGTCTGTATATCTCGAGATTCTAGGCAAAATCCAAAAAAGTATCTGCAATATAATAGATCTTGACCTGGCATCTCAACTTCGGTTATTTTCCCACTGAAGTTCCATAGTTTCACACTGTCATTTCTATAAATATTTTCCTGGCAAATGACGAGAATTTTTTGCCTTGTGCCCAGACTACACGATTTTAAGAGTGCTACCAGATTGTCAAATAGGTTTCTTTTCTTGCACTTCCCACTTGTGAAACTTCCTTCCGAGTTCTTTCTTCCCTGACAATTACAATGTCCAAACATTTAAACGCAACGTCTATATTCTTGAAGCTCGTTTATATTTTGTTCTGCCCTTAAGCCTCCCTATACTCAGTTTTCTCATTCACGTTTAGTTTCACACCCTGTCTTCTGTCATCTGTAGTTTAACTCTGTAATTCTTATTCTAAATATTATTTTCCGGTGTATTTGTTTTATCCACAGAGCTCTGTTCCTATCTATCTATCTATCTATCTATCTATCTATATATATATATATATATATATATATATATATATATATATATATTAGTGTGTTTCTGTCTCTCAGCCTATCTATCTCAGTATGTTTCTTTCTTTCATTTGTTTATCGATCTATGTATATGCATCTATCTATTTCAGTCTATTTCTATCTATCTATCTATCTATCTATCTATCTATCTATCTATATATATATATATATATGTATACACACACACACACACACACACACACACACACACACACACACACACACATATATATATATATATATATATATATATATATATATTAAGCATTACGTCCCGAGCAAGACGTGAAGCCACTAGGATGCAGGGGGTTGCGGAAGATTTGGAGCGAGAGCGGATAGGAGTGATAGAAGAAAGGATGAGGAGAAGGATAGTGGGTAAATCAAGGTAACTGGAAATGTCGATTGACATAACATTTGAATATATATATATATATATATATATCAATTTGTTTCTATCTCAGTCTATATCTTCTTTTCTTTCTTTCCTTCCATCAATCTATCTATCTATCTATTTCAGTATGTATATTTCTATTATCTATCTATCTATCTATCTATCTATCTATCTATCTATATACACATCTATCTATCTATTTCAGTCTGTTTCTATCAATCTATCTATCTATTTATCTAACTCAGTATGTTTCTTTCTTTTGTCTATCTATCTCGGTATCATTCTTTATTTCTTTTGTCTATCTATCTATCTATCTCAGTCTGTTTATTTCTATACATCTTTTTGTTTATCTATCTCAGTACGGTTCTGTCATTCGTCTATCTATCTATCTATCTCAGTATGTTTCTTCCTTTCTTTTGTCTATCTATCTATCTCTATTTATCTATCTATCTCATTTTTTTCTCTCTCTCTCACTCTCTATCAATCTATCTGAGTCTGTTTCTATCTATCTATCTATCTATCTATCTATCTATCTTTTATTTACATATATTTCCATAACAGAAAGCGATAATTACATATATTTTCAAAAAGCTTTTTTCCTCGAATTCGTTTCGTATATTTTTCAACATTTAAGTCCGAAGACATATCTATTATTACTATTATTTATTATATTTGTCTGAAACTTGCCAATATTATTTTTTCTGTCGACAACCTTTCCTCAGCCACGACTTTCAAAAATCTGCCAAAGAAAAAAAAAATGAAAAATAGAAAGAAAATTGTGTTGTTTAGATCATTACACCATTTATTTCATTTTCAACTTTATTCATTTTATCGCCATGTTGTTTATCATTCTTAAAAAGCAGCTTCTATGTTTCGGTATATAATTACAAAACACATATTTTGGAAATGAAACAGAACGATTTTAAAT